ACTCACTCAGTGGTGCGTCGGTGACATTGAAGGGGTTTACTCAGTCGTGAAACCAACCTAACCATGGGTTAAATAGACTGTAAATGCACTTTGTGGATGATTTAGTAATCACAGCTTCCTTTTTTTCCTCATGTTAATAGTGTAAGTGTAATCTTTCACTCCCAGGTGATGATAAAGAAAATATAGTATAATGTTTTACTTTGTGTTGTGACAATCTTCAGCCCCACATCATTCATTATTCTCCAGCCTTGTCTCTTAAAATGATATTCATAATACAACTGAATAGATCTGCCAAATAAATACTGGGCAAATGTAATTGGATTCTGTTTTGTGGCAATGTTTTTCCAACTGAGGAGGGTGTCGGGGTAGATAGTGGGCATATATGCAGGACACTAATACCGGGGGCTGGAGTCCAAATCCTACATCCTAAAACACTGGTTAAAGGGATACTTTCCCGATTTTCAAACAGCTCTGTATCAATACAATGTGTGCACTATGTGTAAACTGTGGTAAACTTCCCTCCATCTAACATATCCCTCCTCTCCCCCCGGCAAAATTCTGCTGAATTACCTATATTGATGCAAAGCACCTCATCCGACAGAGTTTCTGGATCACATGTATAGTTGCAGACACATTCTGTTTGTAGCGTACATGACACACCTCAACAAACCACGCCCTCCAATAGTGCAAGACAAACCCACCAAAGCGAAAGTTATCTGAGCCCTGCTACAATGCTACACTGTAGTGATTACATGAGACCAAATGTAGCAATGATCGACTTTATAATTCATTAATACATGAAGACATGATTAACTGATTAACTTTATGAGTAATGAGATGTAACCCTTCCCATTACCATTACCCTACCCTTAACCACCTGTCTTGTAACGTAATACTTTATAGCTAGCTAATCGTTTATTTAGCAATTTCATAGGAACTTCCACTTGCGGGCAGGACAATCGGAAAAACTTAAATGAAATGGTAAAACTAGGCAGTGCTGCTTAAATTCAAACCAAGATTCTGTCACTGAGTTGCACATTTCTTGCCTTAAATGTTTTCAGAAACATGTTTTAGCTTAAATTTTCACTGTAGCCTAATACAAGATCGTTTGTTGCCAGCTGGTCGCCATTGTTTCAAACGGACGTGTTTGCATTACCTCACCCGCCAGTGGCAGCATTTATTGGCCTGGTGCCACGCAGTGCATTCTGGAAGTTGTATGTTTTCTACCTCTTGATCAAAAGCGTCCTTTTTCTCTCTTTTCAATGGTTTGGTTGCACCAGTTTCGAATGTGTCCTTCTACTGCATAGACAGCATAGCTTCATTTAAGGGCCACCTCACCAGCAGTGAAATACTTCTTTAACGGTTGGAAAAGATGAAGGTTCGTTAATTATTGAAGAATAAACACATCTTGTCTCATGCTTCAAGCCAGTGTGGACCTTTTTTAATATTCAACCAGAACACCATCTCTCTCCAACCTTAACCAAGTGCTTTGAGTGCCTACACATGAAATGTTAATCTTGCATTAGTTGTTATGAGAGTCGTTGTGGGGATAACAAATGAACATTTAGCAGATAAAAAACAGAATGTGAGAGGCATCATGTTTCTTTTAAAGCAAATTTGTTTATGAGTCAGGATTTTTTTTTTATTATTAATACCTTGTCATGCATTAACACCACTTGACTGTCTCTACATCTGTGTGAATAAAATGCACAGGCTTCACACTGTATGCACAGAATCAGAGGGACAGTCTAAATGAGATGGCTGTCGCAGAAAACACACTCGATAATTCTCCTTCACATCTGGTCGGCCATCTGTGCCGCAACAGCATGATGTTAGATTACTGCAGGCCTCTCACTCTCACTGTATGACTCTCGTTCTCTCTGAGGGGCAACTCTAATTATTCACAGAGCATTGTTTGTTTACTGGAGTTTGACCCAGCACTCACCCTTTCAAGTAGTCCAGCTTAAAGGAACGGTTCACCCCAAAATCAAAAGTACATATTTTACTGCTAGCTCACCTAGCACCTGACCTTGCTAACGTTACAGCTCAGCCCAGGAGGATACATCACACACTATCTCAAGCACAAGCCTCTCATCCATGAGTAGATGCATGCTTGCTTCTGCACATTGATATGGCTGGTGGGTGTAGTTCAGTAGTAAGAAAATAGTTCCTTCATGAAAGTGCTGGCAACAAGGTCTGTGGATTATCTTGATTTCTGGAAAGAGACATTGCTGTTGAGTTTTTTAAATGTATTGTTTGGGCGCTTTGAGCACCACAAGCCAAGTGCCATCTAGTGCCATTGTATCGGGGAGAAGGCAGACATCTCTACTGCTGATATCTCCAACAACCGGCAACTCATACCAACACAATCCAAACTGATAAACAGCACTACAGGTGAGAGAAAAAAATATGTATTTTTGATATTGGGGTGAACTGTCCCTTTAAATTACTATACAGGGATATCTTTTGGCATGTTTTAACTTACTTACTAAAAATTCTGTATTTTTTCCTACTGTAACTGCCTATAATCTGTCAACTATTTTTTTTTCTTTTACAAATTTAAGATAAAAAAAACATGATTTTTTTTTTTCCACCTTTCAAGCAAACATTTGCATTTTTTCATTTCATTCAAGTATAAAAATCAAAGAGCCGTGTTATGAAACAGAATTAGGTGTCGTGTTACAAGTGACTGAACATTCAGGACATTCATCAGTCATCCAGAAGAGACAGCCACAACCTGCTCTTTCAGCTTTAGCCTCAAAGAGACAAAACCATATTTGCAATACTACTAAAGTAGGGACTATATCACTTCAGAAGTTTTAATCAGTCAGGCTCTTGAGGCTGTTTTACAAAAAATGTTTATACTAAACAAGTTTTACTGTTGGAATAGTCCCAATGAAAACTGTTCATGCTGAGGTTTCTGGATGGATTTACAGCAATTGATCTTCCTTATTAAGTCCCTGAACATTATTGTCACAGCAATTTTATTCTATACGACTGCCACTTGAGAGGCCTCCTCTATACCAGTAAGGTGACTCTCCTCCTCAACTGTTTGTGGACCAAATATGGTGTCACTAAAGCCCAACATTAGAAACACCTTATCCTCTCTCTCTGCCAACTTTTTTTCCCCTTATATTTCCTGATGACCTTAATGTTAATGCACACACACTGAAACAATGTCTGTCTCATAATGAAGTTGAAGTTCACACTGAAAATGAAGCTGGAGTTTTGATTCTTCAAGCCTGCTTCTCTTCTGCTTGCACCTTGCAAATACAATAAATGCTCTGCAGCTTCAGCCAGTCTCTCACTGTGTCTGTCTGCTGTGTGCTGCTGGGCAGGTCATGTACAGTAGCTTTATCAGAGCTTGTTTTCTGAAAACAGCTGTCTGCTGCTGGGAAGACTGAGACTGAACCAGATGGGAAATGTGCCAGAAAACAAAAACTAGGAGCTAAAAGTGGCTAAAAAGCTCTTGGGGTGTGTCACTATGAGAGACACCTTTCACATTACACACTGCAATTTAATTTATCAATTGCATAAAATTATTGATTAGTGGGGCTTTAATAGTAACACAACATTATATAATTATTTCTTTAGCTCCACTACTGGTAAAGCAACAAAAGCAACAAAATATTGGTTTGTTCATTCTGTAATGAACAAAGAAATCTATAGCGGGACTTCAGATTTTTTTGTTCCTCTTGTATAACTGTGTTTGTCCTGGCCTCACTTGTGCTGTCCTTTTGTCTTTCTCTTCTTTAGTCTCCTCATTCTCTCTCTCTCTCTCTCTCTCTCTCTCTCTCTCTCTCTCTCTCTCTCTGTCTCTTGCTGTTCTTGCTGTGTGCCTAATTAGCCAACCAATCGACTGGACAGTTAAGGTCCTTCCTCGGACATCAGCTGTGCCCTGCTGGTCACGACTCCGCAGCTAAAATTAATGAGTTGGTTTGGGTGATCATGTGGTAGTGGTCGGTGAAGGGTTGCCCAATCACAGCTCTGCCCTGCAGGACTTTGGGGTTTTGTAATGCAGTGATGTCAGAGCAGCTGACTTAACAAGTTGCTGAAGGGCCCAACGAGACATGCAGCCAGCTGTGACCAGCAGCAAGAAATAAGACTTGACGTGGTGTGTAAGAGAAAAGACTAGTACAAGAAACCACATAAAGTGTGTGGCACAGAAGAACAAAGATAAAACACAAAGATTGTCTCAGAAACAGATACTACAGAAATATATGGTTAGACTGAGCCTTTGTAACTGCATAAATATGTAGCCATTGTTTTGTCAAGGGACTGAAATGTTATATGCAAGATTGTGATACTCACTTCAGACAAACTATTATATTTTTTTAACAGAGCAAGATCATAACAACAAGGCAAGGGTCACATAACATAAAAAGGTAGACAAAATCATTGCTAGGTTTCTTTTTAGTAGCCCCACTAGCACACCTCTACAAACCTAACACAATTAACAATTATGTCATCATGAGATGTATCCAATTCTAGGTTTTTGAATAAACAATCACAACATAACATTGTAAAATAATAATTGAGTTTGTCTTAACTGACATTGAACAAATTCGTTGTTGTTTTTTGAGTTTGAAAAAATCTTTCTGAAGGCGTTTAAAATTGCTTTTTTTTATCAGTATTGCCAAAGAATCCATGAAGTATATTCGGAAAGGCACCAGGCATAACAGTGCCCTCCAGGCAGTTAGATGTCTCTCCGGCCCAGCCCCAACTTTTCCTCCCTCATTATTTAACCAATTAGCTCTGTCATTAATTTTCCAGTGAGATCATCCGTAATTATTGAGCCAGCATCTGATAATTCTGCCCTGAGGAACAAACATCGGGCTGAGCGTCACACAGCAATATTTTCCATTGACCAACATTGAGCCTGCTGTTACGCAGAACTCGACACCACAACAGAAATTCAAACAGAGACACACATGAGCAGGCAAAGACACAACACACACACACACACACACACACACAATGATGAGTAAATGAGCACTGACCGTATGGCGAGCAGCTCTGTCTTCTCATCTGGATCTTCAGGATGCTCTCCTGTTGGAGATATAATATCATTTCTTTTATATTCAGTTACGCTTTACATTAATCAGACAGCCTATTAATAATTGTTTGTCACTTCTGAGACTAAAACTAGAGCACTCACGTCCGCTGATCTTTGCGCTGACTCGCTGTGCCAGAGCGCTGCTCTGAGCCAGCTGGTCCCTGAAGCTCTGGCCCATGTAGTAGTCGATGTCGTTGGCCCTCAGCAGCTCCTCGAAGGCCTTGGTGGTGTCTCCCAGGTGCTGGGTGAGGATGTTGCACACGCCTCGACCCTCCCTCAGTCGCTGGCGGAGGTGAGACAGCTCTCTGGCCTGAGCCTGGATCAGAGTGTCGAATTTACTGCAGACAGAGAAAAACAGAGTGTTACTTACCCTGACGATATGTGAAGTAATACATCTAAGCTAAATAATACCCTACAAACAAACTCCTGCTGTTGATGTTTACTGTTTGGATCTCCTTTACTCTTAATATGGTCCACAGGAGCAAGCTTTTAATTTCTAACCTCCAACTATAAATCAGCCCACAGAAACAACATACAACAATAAAATTCCTTTTTAATTTTGTCACTTTAAACTACATGAATCTTGTTTTAGTCAGGACAGTCTCATTAGAAATCAATTTTCTCCAGGGCTTTATTTGATAAAGTATTCTAAATTGCTTCAACGACTGATGACTTAGAAGTGTTTTCTTTTATCTCGTTTAGTTTAGTTAGTTGGTTGTCTTGTCTGAAGCAGATCTAAGTGATTCTGGGACAGTTGTTAAGCAATGCCAAGATGTGACAAAACCAAGTACAGCCTGTTTAATATAGCTGGAAATAGAAATTAATGATACTTTTTGATAGCAGATGTTCCTGTGCTCATTTGATATGTAGTTTTGTCTGTATGACAAAATCCATAACATTTTCTAAACAGTGATAATGCTTTAAGATTTCACTGTATGTAACCAGCTGGATAGCTTGAATTGTGAGTGTCTTTAACACACACACACACACACATATACATATATATATATATATATATATGTATATAATGTTTATATGTAAATTCAAGCCTTAATTAAATGTAAACAGGTGAGTAATATAAATATTCATCCCCTGTAGAATTGTCATGAATGTTGAATTTAGCTACGGCGACCAAAACTGTTTTTGTACCAGACTGTAGACTTGTTTATTTCTGTTGTAAAGTCTATAGAGATTGACTTGCTTCTGGAGCCAGCCTCAAGTGGCCATTTGAGGAACTACAGTGTCTGGCACATCAGCGTGGGCTTCATTTTTCAGCTGTGGAGGTTGCTGCTTGCTATTAACAGGAGACCCGAATCAGCCCCTAAATGACTAAAGCTTGACTGTAGCTACAGTCCGGTCACACATGGCAAATGGGACAGTGTGTTCTCATTCTCGTGTCAGTTAATCCCTTCGGACTGTCAGTCAGGCAGCAGAGTTTATATAAAAACATCTGTGGTTACACTTGATTAACATGGACTGATACTGACAGAGACTGACGGGGTGTGTAATGCCTGCAGTGATTAATGCAGATCACTGTACAGACTGAACTGTATCAGTGATAAACTGATAGGTCATATCCTGGATACTGGAAAGATCTTCCTTTTTTTCTTCTAGATAGATCATACCAGAATTTTTATCTCCAGAGGTCTCCAGAACCTTTTTTTTTTTTACCTAAAATACAATAAAAACAGGTCTTGAAACACTTCCCTATTTCATAAGCATATTTTATCATATTTAAGTAAGATGTCTCCCTGTTTTCTGACATACCCTTGTGTGAATTTGCAGCAAATTCAGCAACCCCTCCAAGTTGTCCCATGTTGTCATGAATTTAGTGTAATGTCTGTTTCCACAGGACAATTTCCAACAGTACAACAAATTCATGTCAACACCTGTGCTAAAAACACTTTCTTTCAATCCAGAAATACTATTTTCATTCACTAATCATTTCTAATCACTTCTGTTTCCACATATTTCCGATCACTATTAAGCTACCATCAATGAAACCCAATACTTCCTCTAAAAATGTTTTACATTAAATGCCTTACAGGACTCAAAAGGCACACTCTGTGGATTTTTTTGTCTTTTCTTTTGTCACCCTATCATATATATTTTTTTAAACTTCTGCTGTATTTCATGCATGTATGCAAAAACATTCCAAATAAAAAAAGGAAATTGTAGGTTCCTAACTCTCACCCTGGCCAGGTGGCAGACTTTACGTCCTCACTGACAGACTTCTTGCCTCCTTTCCTCAGCTGGTCCTCCAGTGCGTCCACGCGGGATACCAGCTCCTGCAGGCCCTTATCTGGATGAGGGTGACGAGGTGAAGCCAGAGGACCTCCATCGGATGACTGCCAACCCTCGTCGTCCTCTGCCCCACTCTGGGAAGGCGAAGCCTGGAAGGACCAGTTGACCTTGCGAGGTGTGGAGGGTCCATAGTCGCTGGACGTGGAGAGGGAGCGGAGCCGGCTCTGGAGCCCGCGGATCACTCCCTGAGAGCGGGACAGCTGGGAGCGAAGGTCCTCGACGAGGCGCTGAAGAGACGACATCTCGTCTCCATCACCAGAGCTCTGGGTGGTGGTTTTAGTGAAGGCGGAGCTGCTGCTACTGTTGGCAGGCCACCACTGGGACCCACAGTCCAGAGATGTGCACATCTCCAGGTCATCAAACTCTGTCAGGGAACATAGAGCACACACATTTATCAGTTTTCTATGAGATGATGAATAAATAAAACTTATTTGTTTCAGTCAACAGCTCCCATGTTTTCTTTAACACACACAATTAACTAAAACTAAAGCAGTCTGATACAACAGTCCTGCACTATACCTTCTGTATGAAGCTTTTTTTTTTGTTGTTGTTGAAACTGCTTTAAAATTAGCTGAAGGTCATTTTTTAAAGGCTGTACTTCGTGGTGATGTTGAAACATGAGAAAATGTTTACACACCTGCATAACTGAAGTTCTGCTCGCTAGCTACACAAATATGTTTGAGCTTTTAAACTGCTGTAAGTAAATCTAAACAATAAAAAAGAGTATAAAAAGTGTAAATGTTGTGTTTTATGCTGATGTTTAAAGGAAAAAACACTTAATTTCCTGTATTCTGATGAATTTATCTGCATTCATTTATGGTGGAAATGTATTTCTTTATGTAAAGGAGAACACAAAATTTAGGCAGCAGGTGACCATTCAAAATCTAAAAATGTAATATAATATAATGCAGTAAGGCTCTCAGGCATTCTGAATTGTCAAATATTTATTCTCTAGGATCAACCTCTCTCATTTAATGTTATCTCTGAGACATGTAGCCATGATTTATTCTTCCATCCTCTTTTGTCTGAGGAACTAACCTCTTTAAATGCACATTCACATCAGCGACATATTAATTCATTATGAATAATTTATAAACCCCTGGATTTTAATGGATCATACGTGCTGTCACGTTTACAGACAGAAAATGGAAAACCTGGACCACTGGAAACTGTGTCAACAATACTGATCAGCAAATGCAGGTTTTTGGGTCAATTTAGAATCAGTGGGCTGGCGGGATGTTTTTTTTAAAGCTTGTGTTACTTGTTTTAGACGCACATTGATTTCTACTGTATTTACATTGCATTGTATGTTTTCTTATTGTGAAATAAACTTTTTCTCAAAGTGTCCTCATTTTTACATCAACATTTCTTGGTGCAAGCTATTTTTCAGAGCAATTTTTTTGCTTTTAAAAATGAGGTGGACAAAACCGGGCATTTCAAAAAGTGATGGGGACATGTCCTCATCATCCCCAGTGTAAATAACGCTTATGCAAGCAGTTATATATGTTGATCTGCAGATGCTACTGTTTACTGTCGGAGCTGTTCTTTGCTCCCCTCTGGTGTTTTTCTGATGCTACTACAACTACCCAGCAACACCAGCTGCTGTTTCCAGGAAATTATACTGTATTTCAAGTCTCTAAACTTGTTTTTAGAAGTTGTAAACTCATGTAAAGTCCATTTTTAAACAGAGTTCCCTCCTGCAGACACTGTAGCAGTAAGACATACCCGGGCTGCTGGTGTCCTCCCTCTCAGCCTCGTTCTCACTGCGGCCGCAGGTCTCATAGCCCAGGTCCTGCAGGTCCACCTGGATCTGCTTACTGTCCTGCTGTACGGCTGTCTCTGCTACACAGGCACAGAAGAAGAGGAAGTTTTACACCTCTGTGTTTGCAGCTGACGTCACTGGGATTCATCTTTAATATTTTTGATTGTTGATGTTTGTTTTGCTTATTTTGCAAAATAGAGGTATGTAATGTATGCAACATGTGTATGTAATGTAATCACACATTATTTACACAGCATGTGAGGCGTTACATAAGTCATCAGTGTGTGCACTCACTGAGCAGTTCCCTGTAGTCTTTGAGCTGCTCGGCCTGAGCCTGGACTGTAGCTTCAGACACCATCAGCCTCTCCTGCAGCTCTTTGCTCTTCTGCTGCAGACGAACAGTCTTCTCACACGTCACTGAGGACACGGCGCCCTGCTGCTGACTGGCTGACAGCTCACTGTCTAGAACATCCTGGATAACAAAAAAAAAACATAAAGAAAACATATTTTAGGATGGATTTGTTTTCAGTGGACCTGTAGTGTCTTTGTGAGTTTTCCCTGCAGGGCGGTCCCTACCTGTGAGGAGTTGGTGAGCAGGTGCAGTGACTCAGGTCTGTTGACTCTCTGCTCACCACCGGTCTGGATGTTGGTCTGTGACAGAGACAGCTCTCCATCCCAAGCGTCCCACATCTCAGAGCTTTCCTCCTCCTCTTCATCCTCCTCCACCCCTTCTATGGTCACATCCAACTCCTCCTCCTCCTCTTCACCGTTCTGTTCATTACTGCTCGTGCTGCCGGGCTGCAGCCCTTCAGTCAGATGATGCTTTAAATCTCTGTTCTCTGCTTGCAGGCTGAAAAGAGCTTTCCTTTAAAACAGACAGAGAGGGATGGACAGTCAGAAATAACCTGTTGCCCTCTAGTGGCCGAAAAAATTGCTTTACGTATCCTTATATTTTTCTTATTTACTTTTTGACTTCCTGTCAGCGGCTCTCAGCCAAGCGTAAATCTTTCAACACACCTCACAATTTCATATTTAAAAAAATAATTTCCTAAAATGGCTGCTCACTGTAGTTTTTATCAAACAAACAGGAGGAAATGGTAAATTTAGGGACTATTTTTAGCGGTGGATTGATCCACATTTGGTGCTCTAGTGAGTATTTGGGGCAGCAGGATGGTGTATGTGTGATTGAGTCAGAATAAACTATGCAAAATAAACTAAAAAAAAAATAAACGTTTGACAGCAATGGGGCTCTATGGCACAGACAAAAAATGATAAACAAGCAAATACTTGTTAGTAGATACATTCAGAACTATTCTTATCATAATCATCTTACCTCATCTGTGACAGTGAGGAGAAGCCGGCCTTCTCCAGCTGAGCCTTCAGCTCTCCCAGCTCTCTCTCCACCGCCCTCTTCTGCTCCACCAGCTGTTTGACCTCCATCAGTCCCTGACCTTCAAACAACACATCCTGGGATGGAGGCTTTCCTGTGCCTCCAGAACCCTGTTTGGACAGACAGTCAGGATTGTTTCTGAATTATCAGTTACAAGCCTCTGAGGTGTAACTTACTATACCAGCAAAGCCCAGCAAAATAAAAGTTATATTACTGATAACAACTTTTTTTTAAAAAATGCAAATGGACCAGAAATCCAAGACAAATCAACATAGTTTACAGCAGTTTCACGCCTCATAAAACTCCAGTGCTTAGACATATACGTGTCTGAGGGCTGCAGTCACATGAGTTTAAGAGCTGATTTTCATACATATTTCATAAATACTATATACAGTGTATGCCTTTTGATTAGGGTCGCTTAGAGAATTGGTTAAAAAAAAAACATATATAAACTATCCACACAAATAAACAGTCACAAAATAAAATAACAGCAATAAGGAATGTATATAAGGGGAACCTTTCTAATAAAGTCCAAAACTACAAAGCTCTCTTATTAGATAAGTATTAAAACTCTCTGCTGGTAAAATCCTCATTCATCTGTCTTGGGTGCACCTTCTGAGATTGTAAATCCTAAGGAAGCGAATGTTACCCCCTCTGCCGTCAACTAACATCAACAGCAATAAAAGACAGCCCAGTTTATCATGTGATGTCAGGCCTCAATTTCCCTTAAAATCCTTCTTAAACTGCTTAAAAAAGTTCAATTTATTCCTACCTTGGTGTTGGCCATAAACTGGACCCTCAGTTTGGACTCCTCTTCATCAATGCTCTCAGTGTACTCGCTGTTCAAATCATCATCAGCCTCGTCTTCATCCTCTGAGCTCAGTCCTGCAAGAGGTAGGAATAAAAAGTTAGACCAGAGCTTCTTAAACAATTCTCTCAATTTCAGTTTTCTGTTTATGACTTTGTGCAATCCCAGCAACCAGCAACCATTCTACTGAGTGTCACACTGTCAGCACAGAGAAAACATCTGATGACTTCTGAAGTATCTGCTCATCCACATCAGCTGACTTAATAACATTCTTCAATTTCATATGATGCCTGTAATTTGTAACGCAGCATCAGCTATGCCACAGAACTTCAGATCATACACAAGTTTAACTGCATGTACATATAACAGCTCTCAGCTCACTAATATGAGGGCCGTTCTGTGTTATTAACTGCACTTGACTGTGGTTAGGCTTCAATTTTCAGCATAAAGCAACTAAAAAAGACTTCAGGAACAGAATGGACTAATAGAGGAGATGGATTCATAAAGTTTAAGATGTTTTAACAGAACAGGATTATGGTTAATCTGGATGTGGGAAATATAACATAAACTGTAGAAAGGCAAATTACGGACTTGAATTTACCTGAATGTACTGGTGATGAAATGAATTAAAGGCTAAGGCAGTTAGACTCTTATTTGCATCATCAGTGACATATTTATTGTCTATAACAATGTAACCCTCCATGTTACATTCCTACTTGGATTTGATCTCATCAGTATAAATTTCAGGGCTGTAGAAACCACTGATGTCATGTCCTCAGCATTGTTTCTGTGAGGTTGAGGGATTTTAACAACCTCGACAGAAATTTTAGACAAATTAGTTTTTTTAAAGGCTTATTCAGATTTTCTTTGCCGCATTTATCATATATGTGACTGCTTTAAGCAGAACAGTGAAGTCACATTAAAATAAAATGAGGGAATTTAGTGTTTCTCCACCAGAATCACTAACAGTAAGGGGCATAATAATGTAAGGGCAAATATAAGCGTTACATAATTAAATGTAATGCAAAGTGTGGGGAGACTAGTCAAATATTTCTTAAAGAATTTGGACTGAATTCTGGGTAATGTCCTAGTAACTTTGCAAACTGAAAACCAGGACTAACCCAATAGTTTATGTGCTTTATGAGCTGACTTTGAAATTGGTGTGACTTACAGTATATTATGCATAAGTGTGTGGTGCTTTATCCATACAGCAGGAAGAGAAGGGGTGATTTTGTTCCTCTGAAACTGGACGGTTGCTTAAGTTACTGGGTAAAGTGTTTGTACTTGGTGTATGTGATAGAGACAATTGTACTACAGCGATGTCAACTCTAAAGGTGGGGAAAGTCATAAAACAAGGCCAGCATACAAAGACACAAGCAAGCTGTTACTTCCATGAAAATCTCCTTAAGTCATAAATTCATGATGCAGTATACCGCAAGTTTCTTTATTGAACCGCTCAATTACATGTTCGGGGCTGAAAAAGTATAAATAAAATGTACTATCTGCAATCCAACACATGTGGCTTAAACTTCTATAGAGTTTACATTCTTCATCTTTATGGAAAGATCAATAAGAAAGAATCAATTATGCTTACTGTTCTCCAGTGTGACACTCAATTTTACAATAGTATTCATTTATACTGAACCACAGAGATGGAACTGAGGGTTGCTGAATTGCACAAAGTCTCATAAAATAACAAAAGCAAACTATTGCAAGCATTTGAAAAAAATCTAAACATTTTCTCAGCTATATTGCTATATATAAAAGACAGCTATACACCAAGTATACCGAATCATAATCACATAAAGGCAGTGTGGAATGTGCTTATATTTTCATATTATCAAGTCAAACAAAATATGAGTTTGTTTCAACTGTCATACAATTTGCAGCATTCAGAAACAGGCTCATTCAAGCTGATGAGCATGCAAAGCATCCACACACACCCACATATAAGGAAATATATTATCACTGTCATACGTGACCAAATACAAAACATTTACAACCCAGTAAATGAGGCTTTGAGTTATACAAAATATAAAATATGTTTAAGACAAAGACATTTTTTAACATTTAACTTCACTGAAACATTTATAAAACACTTTAATGAAACATTTTTTCCAGCCACTTCTAAACTGGCCCTCACTCAGGAAAAAAACAGTGAAGTCAATATGGAGAGCTTTGTTCCAACATGACAAAATTATTAGAAAAACTAATTATATTTACAAATGAATTTAAAAAATAATTCTAGCAATTTGTAAATTTTCACTTAAATTTTAATTGATGTGCATTTTGATTCGGATTCAAGAAATTAATTTAATAGGATCTACACCATTCTCCAACTAAATCTCTGCACTGGTTTGAAATGACATACCCAAAATAAAACTATTGATGACAGTCATCATCTTCTTTCAAATTCACTGTCAAAACTACAGAATGATAATGTACCACTGAGGCTACACACATGGTAAAAATGTCAGCCTCTACTTGTGTTTTTAGGATTTTTTTTTTTTCATTGCACTCCTGTTAGAGACTAAGCAAGAGATATATGGATCCCATAATCTCAACAGCTCTTTTTTTATTTACACTTAAGGAGTTGTGAGGCTTTTTGCTTTAAACTGATGTAGGGTTTGTTAAGTGTGAGTCATTATTTAACCCAATGGCATTCTAAATCATGCTGCTTGTTACTGCCTGATCCGTACTGGATACCTGATTTGTTCTACATATGTGCAAGGATGGCTGGGGTTAGGCATTCACCTCGAATGGCTAAGGTCAGGACAGCCCATTAGTCAGGTGACAGGACCTGAACAAATGTGGTTTATGGTATGGATCAGGTAGTGACACTGCTTGTTAAGGGCTTTTAAACTCCCACAATTAACTGTATCATTCATGAAACTTGTTTGTCATCAGTGTTAAGAAGCGTGCAGACCTGCAGTGACTACTAAATGACAAAGGCTTAGAGTTTGTCCATCTCGTCACCATCACTGATTACAGTACAAAAATGTTCACTGTTATTTCCACCCAGAAGGTCCCACGTGTTAAATTCTGTTACATCAGTGCGACTACCACCACAGCAGAACACTCGGAGCCCCACACCACAGTCACAGCTCCCTGTTGCTGTTACAGATACTGTCCCATGCTTCTCTGATGCCCACCTCCAAACTCGGGCTGCCTGCTGTTGGGCCGGTCCCGGCCCAGGATGGGGCCTCTTGCTGGGGGACCGTCCCGCTGGACCAGGCTCTCCCTAAGCTCCTGAACCTCCTGGGTCAACCGCTCCACCAGCGGGAGACCGGAGGGCTCCACCATCTGCCTCTGGAAGTCCTGCAGAACATACACACACAGGTGTGCACACACGGATCATAACACACACATACATTAGTATGCAACACATATACAACACAAAAAATACAGAGACTAGAAAGCTGCAGTAACAAAGATGAAATTATAAACATCATCATGACACTGAAAGATTTCTCTCTGTCTCTCTCCCTCTCACTCACCCTGATGATCTCCTCCTTTACACACAGAGTCCTGGTGAGGGAGTCCACTCTGTTAGCCTGACTCCTGCTCAGCTCCTGGCTCTCCTTCTCCCTTCTCAGAGCCAGGCGCAGCTCGTCCTGCAGGGCCTGGAGTTCCACAGCAGAGTCTGGTCCAGAGTCTGACCTCGATACAACACCTGAGCTCAGCTGTCTGCGGAGCTCTTGGAGTCTCCCCGTCTGCTCTGTCATCACCTCACTGAGCCGGCCAGCAGAGTCCTGAAGGGAGATTGGTGTTATTTATTTTTTTCTTACAACTTCTGAGTGCTTCTGTTGAGCTCCTCTGCTCTACCTGAATGTACTGGTCCCTGGAGCTGATGGTTCTGAGCAGATCCTGGATCTGCTCCTGGTGGTTCTGGGCCTGGTGGGTCCGGTCGGCCAGCACTTCCTGGAAGAGGCGATCTTTGAGTTGGAGGCGGACCTTCAACTCCTCCAGGACGTCCCTGGGAGCTGATTGGATCTGAGCCAGTAGAGTGCAACGAAGTTCCTACGGTTGAGAGAGGAAGAAGAAACATGAATCTTATCTGAAAGACTGTTAGGAAATTGATTTGTTGAAGGAAAATTGTAAACTAACTGTGTAAGGATCTAACCAAACTGCCTCTTCATCAACCCAAGATGAAAAAAAAAAAAACTGATATTGATGTTCCCTTTTGACCACTTCCTGTCTGTACCTGGGCCTCCTGCGTGCGAGCGTGCAGTGCCGCCTGCAGCTGGGTGATGATGCCGTCTCTCTCTCTCAGACCGCTGCTATGTCTCTCTTCGCTCTCCTGCTGCTGCCGCTGGACATTCCTCCAGGCATCACACACCTGCTCCAGCTCCAAAGCCTTACCACGCACCAGCACCTCCAGGCTCTGACAAACACACATCACCGATAATGAGTTGTGGAGGTGACAGAGCAGAAGGCGGAGAAGAAGTCTGATTTGTGCATGTGAGTTCTTACAGAGATGGTCTCCTCGTTGTTGGCCAGGACGCAGCGCTGCCTCTCCAGGTCTCTCTCCTTCTCTCTGAGCAGCAGCTGGAGCCGACGAGTCTCCTCTTCTTTCTCCTCCATGCTGCGGAACTTGTCGTCCACTGCACGCTGAGGGTTAGACGAAAAAAGTGTCAATCATTGCTGAACCTGAGAGTTTAGGTTTGGCATAGTAAGTAAGTAAGTAAATTTGATTTCTATAGCACTTTTCACAGATAAAATCACAAAGTGCTTTACAGCAAGAATAACAAGCGATAAAATACAGAGACAACACAGAAAACACACAATGGCACAGAAAACAAATAAAGTCACAGAGGCCCAAAAACATCAACTTCAGTAAAAAGCCTGTCTAAAAAGATAAGTTTTTAGTTCTCTCTTAAAACCTTCAATGGATTCTATGCTACACAGAGTCAGAGGCAATAATTAAACCACTGAGGATTCAGCTTTAAGCCAAGCCTAGGTTTGTAATCACTAAGTAGCCTAACTTATCACTAGGAGTCCTGCAAGAGGCCACTAACATTTTCTAGACCTTTAATCTCAATGGGGCTTTCCCTATTAAATAAAGGTTAAGCAACATAAAACGCTCTGATGCTATTGTGATGTCTGGAGCTGAAAATACAAGGTGGATACACAATATGTCACCCATACACCAACCACAAGTAACTGCCAGGAGGTCACAGGATGTGCTGCATGGTCATTGGTATGCATGTGGGTATTAGGCTACCTTTGGGGATGCACTTCAGACTGGAGACCAGATACTGGGGATGGGTTAGGTCAAGGTTATTAGGGGTTAGGGTTAGGCTTGTTGAGGTTATGGTTAGGGTAAGTCTATGTGAAATGAATGGAAGTCTATGTAACCTTAGTAAACATGTGTGTGTTGTTTACCTCCAGAGCTCTGTCTCTCTCCTTGATACGCTGGCGGAGTTTCTGAAGCAGAGAGTCTTTCTTCTCCTTTGGATCCTCCAACAGCTCACAGTAGTCCTGATTGACAGCAAATTGGTTTAGCAAAAGATTTAAGAGATAGTGAATCACTAGATGTACCCAATATACTACAATAGAGGAAGAGAAACCATCAACACTCTTCTGGAACAGATCTGGAAAGTCAGTTTGGTCTGAATCATGCATCCAGTGGTCAGTGGAGGAGCTTCAGCTGTTTGCACTTCCACATTCAGCTGTGGAGGTTTCTTTGTGGTGTGTGCAGCATGCAATGTATCTGCAGAGTGCATTTCTGTGATGTGATATGAATCCTGTGAATGTTTGTGTTTGTGCAAGTGAGTGTGTCTGACCTCTATCAGCTGCTCTTTGGTCTGCAGCGATGTCTTCAGGTCTCTGATGGTCCTCTCTCTCTCCTCGGCCTGTCTCTGTCTCTCTTGCTCTCCCTCTCTCAGCTGCTCCTCTCTGTCCTGCAGGGCCGATCGAGCCTTCTCCAGAGCCAGCTGCAGATCCTGAATATCACACACACACACACACACACACAAAGTGCCAAGATGTAAGATGATATTTTAGTGAAAAACAAATGATGCAAAGAATATCATCTTTCCTAAATCTAACCATGAACTTGTTGAAAGAATGTTACAATTTAAAACAGTCCTGCTCTGTCTTTTCTCACCTGGTTGTGTCTCTCTGTCTCCCTCCTGTGCTGCAGCGCCCCCTGCAGGTCTTTCTCCAGCCTCTGCAGAGCTCGATTCAAGTCTTCCTGCGTCCTGCTTGCCTGCCGCTGCGCCCGCTGACCAGCCTTCAGCTCTAGCTGAGCCTGGAAGAGAGACGCCTGCAGAGCCAGCACCTCACCCTGACCTCGAATGCTGTCTGCACCAGACACCTGCAGTGAGGGGTGAACAAGAGACAGACAAACACGGAAACACAGAAAGGATTGGTGTGAAAAAGGAAGCAAAGAAAACGTTGATTTATAATAGTGACTGTAACTATCAACCACAAACAAGTGGCTTCAGTATGTGTGGTATATATCTGTGTTCAGTGATGTGACAAAGCTCCAATTTGGGGTCACTCTGTGTCAGGATGGAGGACAAACCTGCAGCTGCTGCAGCTGGTTGCGGTTGGCGAGCTCTTTGAGAGAACACAGCATCTTATTCTGTTCATCAATCACCCGATACAGATCTGCAGCCTGCTCACACACAAACACACACACGCACAAACACAAACATTATTCAAATACCAAACTGTGCTTTCTTTGTGTATTTTCACTTTTAAAACTGATGTGTTCAAGCTTTTTTTTCCTGTCAAAATCCATTACTTCCTGTCTCTTTCTATTTTCTGCCTGCACTCATTTTTCCGTCTTCCTCTATCAATGTATTCCTTTATCTATCTACAATACCACAATGTGTATGTATCCGTCCCGCTCTACCTCTGCCTCCTTGGAGTTCACAGTATCTGTGATGTTCTGGATGTTTCGCTCTTGCCGCTGGGCTTCCTCTTGGGCTGAACGCAGCTCCAACTCCATGTCACCGAGACGCTCCTGCAGCTTCTACACACAGACACAAACACACACACAATAGACTCAGTACCAAACATTACAGAGATTCAGATGGATGAAAATGGATGAAATGCAGGTCTGGTGGTGGGAGTCGTGACATATTTGTACCTGGTTCCTGGTCTCGCTCTCTCTGATCTTGGCCTGGAGCGAGCAGACCTGGTCCTGGGCCTTCTGCAGCTCACTGACACACTGTCCAGCAGCACTCTCATACTGACTGAGCTGGCCCTGCTGCTCATCAATCAGCCTCTGAAGGACACAGGAGCAAAACACAGGTCAATAATAAAAATATGTATTTGTTGTACTGTATACAGTTCTTTTTCATATCTCTTACTCTTAACACATTATTATCCAAAGTCACAGTTGATATATTAATGGGTGGTGAAACACTGGACACAAAAACGTGTGTTGTCCCTGCAGCTGTTGTGCGAATGACTGAGTGAAAGTGGAAAGTGATGTCAGTTCACTGTTGGATGACTTCCTGGGGAAGCAGCTGTTGCCAAGGCAGCATAATGTAGACTTCCTTGTTTTTGTTTTTATGATCTGAGTAATGATGTGATGTCACTGCCCTTTTGGACACTGTTAGCTGTATTTGTGACCTTTTCTAAAGGTGTTTCAACCGGCACCCAAAAACAATACAGGCTGTGGTAAAACATTAAGAATAATCACTGTTTCATGGGTCCTATAATTTCCTAATAATCCAATGGAGGAAACTATTTAATTTGATAGTACAAACAGAGACAATGATCTGAGACATACATGAGTACATTTTTAGCACCACTTCACCTATTTTAGTTTTTAATAAGAAATAAGAAAGAACCAGTAAATTCTGCAATTGGCCCGACAGTACAGTAAAACTGAGTGGATTTTTTAAGAAGCTGTTGATTTGCAAAGAAATTCCCTTGAAAGAACAGCTCCATTTATACTCGAGTAAATATTCAATCATCAAAAATGCGACTCTCCATTTATGTTGAATTGTGTGCCTGTATAGTACTAGAATTAGTACCAAATGTACAAATACATATTAAATCATAAAACCTAGTTATACTAAATAATATGTAATTAAGCTATGATAATAGTTCAATCTCAATAGTTATGCCAATAAAGCTGATTTGCCCTTTTTTCTAAAAAAGGAAACAGAAAAGACAAGCAGAGGGGTTAATGCCTGCCTCTATAGTGCATAATTAATGTGTAAGATCTGATAGAATTAATTGTGTGTCTTTTAGTTACTAAGCAAAAAATCAAATTCTGCAATAAAGCTAAACATGGTGAAATCTGCAGTCATCAATCCAGACCGCAACGTGAGATGGTGTCAGAAATTTAGGAGCAAAAAATCTCACAATCTGACTGCTGCTATGACTCTACTACATACCATACTGGTGTGAAGCTATATTTGTATGATGTAAGTTATATTTTCAAAACATGAGTGTCACAGACAGATGATCTGAGCTGACAACGTGTCTCTGCTAACAATTTTTTTTGAGCACTGCAAGCTTGCTTTTATTGCATGGTGAGGAGATATCTTTAATATTCATCTTCTATTGTCAAATCATGACCAGACCTCTGGTATAAAAGGTCAGTAGTTAGAGCCACTTATTCTCCCAGAATCTACTTTTAAATGCTCTGGAGTCTTCATCTGTGTGTAAATGGCACAAGTATAAATTTCCCCATTCATACCAGTGTGGGGTCTGCTGCACAGACTAGTATATGGCTGTATAATAGAGCAACACACTAACATACAATAGACCGTAACAGAGCTGTCTTCGCTCCTGGCACACTGAATCATGTTCACATTAATCATTAACATAACAATAGAAGTTATGAAGCTGTATCAGCCTGAGCAGGGCACACTGACTGCTGGAGCGCTCAGAGACTGTTCCCATGGCAACAGAAGTGTTGCTAGGATACCAACGAGGAAGAGTATGTATGCTCCCCGAGAGGGTAATCAAGGCAGTGAGTGTGTTCAGCTTCATCAGCGGTCAAGGAGATGAGTAAGACAGAGAGGTCTGACCTTGTTCAGTCTGGGTGGCGGGTGCACAAACGGGGAATTAGTGGGACGCGCTTTCAATCAATCAGTTTCACTTCAGTTGGACTAAACCTTCACCAGATTTCTGTGCTTTTCAGGTTTCACGGTTTTATTTAAACAACCTTGGTATATTTTAAAAGGATAAGTTAAATCAGATCTTGTGTTCCTCAGACAGCCAGAACTTGTCGTGTCTTAGCCAGATAACTAGAGTGAAATACAAATGTGTTTGTTGGCAGTGATTCAGAGGTCTGAAACCAGGCTTGTCCCTTTTCCTGTCACAGAAGGACACTGTCAGTTAACAGGCCCTCATTTCTCTGCTCTGAATATGATTCCACAAATAAGTAAAGAACAAAAAGCCTCTAATTACACCTAGGATCTGCAAACGTTGCATTAAGTTACGACAAATAATAAACTACAGAACACTTGCACCCAAAATTATATTTTTACAGTTTAATTTTTACTCAGATTTTTACCTTTTTTGATTTTTTTCATCAAATTGTCCTATTTTTTAGAATTTAAATGGAAAAACTACATAATCTTTTAAAGGAGAACTCTAAAAATTTGCATTACTCTCCCATAAAGTTTGGGGACTTGCAGGAGACAGATTAAAAAAAGAACGGTCTAAGTCGAAGCTGCAGAGGCCGCGAAATCCTGACTTTTGGTCCCACATATGAGCCAATCTTGGAAAAAAACTGTATCCTACATTTCCCATAACACAACTTAATAGCACCCTACTGTTCTGTGCAGCCTACACGAAAGCTACAAAGTCTACACTGACAGGATCGGCTCCAGATCCAGTAACAAGGTACTGTGGCTATCGATCTACCTGCTGAAAGCGGAACGGCCCGCACTCAACATAATCATCCATCCACTGCTCCTCCATCTCTGCCAGCTCCGCCTGCAGCTCCTGCTGGGGACATGGGGTCACGACCTCCGGTATGGGCTGGTGAGGGTACAGCTCACAGTCTGCTGCCCCTCCACAGGGTGACCTCAGTGGTGTGGGCAGGGACAGTGACAGGCCTTGCTCCAGTTTGGCTTTGACCAGAACTGGGATCTTGCTGCCCCTGTTGGGCTTCACTGGCCGGTACTCGCAGCCCCTCAGAAGGCTCAGCGTCATCTCAAGTCCAGAGTGGGCGCTCTCACTCAGTTGTTTGTCCCATGGAGTGTCCCTTCTCACTGGAGCCTCCTGTGGTTCAGTTTCCTCTCTTTCTTTGTGGTTTGCAGGAGGGCAGCTCACGTCCACAGCGGTGTCAAGAGACTCAACAGATGACGCCGGGCTGGGACTCGTCCTGTCACACATGGTCTTATCAGAGTCCAGCTCAGCTAAGGAGGACTCAAAGACGACAGCTGTTGCCTCAGACTCTCCAGAGGTTCTGGGGGGGTCCTCAACCCCCAGAGTTGCTGTTGAGTAGCGGGTAGATGGGCCACAGGATGTGCTCCTGCGCCCAATCTTGCGAGGAACCTTACACACCGCCTCATAGTCAGAATCAGCAACACGGAGCGCTGCACAACCCCTACACCGCCTCGGCTTCTGGCCAGGGAGAGAGTCTGTTCCTGGACACTGGAGGTGGTGGTGCTGGTGGTGGTGGTGGTGGTGGTGGTGGTGGGTGTGCTGGTCCAGGGCAGAGTCCTCTTTATCAGCCCAGGATTCATACACTGAGTAAGTCAAATCATCCTGGATCATATCTGAGTATCTTCCATCCTGCAGGACTGACAGATCCACCACAGGAGAATCTTCAGAGCCCACTTCGGTCACAACGACCCCCACAACAGACCCAGGAGGAGCCACATTCCCATCCTCTGTGTTGTTCTTCCGGTACAGGCCTCCAATACACTGCCTCAGCCGGTCTTTCTCCAGCAGCAGCTTGTGAAGGCGCTCCAGTGACAGGGCCTCCACGCGGGCAATGACCGTGTCAAAGCGGTACATGCGATCCAGCATGAAGGCACACTTGGAGCAGGCGAACTCCCCACGGCCGTCCCGGGTCAGCTCGTGGCCCAGAGCGTGGGACAGCAGCACCTGCAGGTTGAGCTTGGCCGCTGGGTGGAAAATCCATCGACGCTGGTTGCCGCAGAGCTCGCGGGCGCAGATCCTGCACGCCTCCTTCATCTTCACCACGTCCAGCATCACAGCAGCAGTGGACTGACTATAAATAATACAGCAGCGCTTTAAAGTCCAGTCAGTTTCTTTCTACACATGTGAAAGGTGTCTTTGGATTGTAGGAAATCACAACTGTTCAAAGTAACCTTAAAGTGCTGAATTTTCCCTGGACCTTTGTGCAGGTGTGATCCAAAAGTTTTTTTAGGTGTGTCAGAAAAAAGCCTTGTTCATCCAAATCTTATGAAGTAGGTGAGACAGCTGCATTGATTCAAAAAGTTGGGATACATTAAAATCACATTTTAGAGTTCTTTATCTTAAAAGTCTTGTACAAAGATGCTTAAATGTGTTTTTGTCCCTCTCCAGCCCCCGTCCTTCCTGTTTCAATGTCAAGTCTTGAACCGCTGTCCTGATTTTAAATATTTATGTTTCAGATTTCATCTGAAGAAGATAATGATTTAAAGCTTCTCAAATCTGAAGTTTTGCCTCTAACACAAATATCATTCTTTGGATTACTGTGTACCAAATTAGAAGCCTTAATAAAATAAAATGTGATTAATTTCTTGGCAGACAGTGAGATTTTTAGGATGAACTGTTTCCCTGCTTGAAGAACTTGAATCGATCATAAAGACTAATTATAGTTATCCTGATTCAAAAACACAAATGTCTCCGGATCACGCTGACATGTCAACGTGACAACGCGATCAGCAGCGTTAATTCAGTGAAGATTTCCAGGCGGAGCGGATGTGAGTGAATCTCTGTCATGGGTTACACTGTCACTTCCTCTATGATTCACTGCAGACATTTGCCGTCAGGTCGATCCGGGTTGTATTTCTGTCCCAGTGATTCCTGTGATAGAAACGATCCCCAGTTGATGTCACTGCTGTATGTTTTTGCCTTTTAAATCAATGACGTCTCTGTGCATGACAGCATCTTTCCGCTGCAGCAGCCGCTCCCGTTACAATCCGACACGAACACGGAAAAAAAAAACTGATCCGTCCCGATCGACGCTTTGGATGTTTGAAGGTTCACCGGAGACTGTCCGGGTCCCCGATCCGTTGTCTCCTCACCAGCATCGGCTTCATCAGCTGAGGATGGAGGGAGAGGCTGTCAGTCCTCGAGCCGCTTTCGTAACGAGACAACGAGGCAACGTTGACAGGAACCAAAGATCGCCTATGTTGGAGACGATGTCTCACTTCGCAGCTTTACCTAGTCCCGTCTGCAAAAGTGGGCTTCGGTTGTAGTCCAAAACAATTATTTCATTGTATACTATTTCTGGGAATATTCCACAGGTGTAACTCATTTTGGAAAATCTTATTATTTTGTATCGATTATTACATCAGGCTACAAAGATCCATTAAACGTGTACTTAAGTAGGCCAATAATTCAAGTGAGGTAGGCTACTTGTACTTTACATGAGCATTTCCATTTTATGCTTCAGAAATAAATATTGTACTTTTCACTTAATTTCATATTTTTAAGAGCAATGGTTATTTTTAAAATTAAAATATTAAATACAACAGATGTGATCAGTTATATATAAAAATAAGATCTGTTGTTATAGATTAAAATACCAAAAGTAAATAAAGTAGTTAAAACTAGCTTTACCATGGCCAACTACAATGCTAAAATACAGCTTACATATCATTAAAACCAATAATAATGATCCAATAATATAACAGTATAACACTGACAGTAGCCACTCTGCATTATGACTACTTTTACATTTGATAGCCTACTTAAAGTAGCCTAAATGTTAATGCTAATACTGACATGATGTTTTTACACTGTGGTTAGATAAATAAATAAAAGTAAGAAAAAAGTTCAAAAATGTGTGATGCAAGATGCATATGATTTTCATTATGACCCATAACGTCTTCCCCTTGTATTGTATTATTTTTGTGTTTTGAATTCATACCTTATATTATTCTTCCTAGCTGTGTCCATGTCTACTTATTTATGTAAAAACAAGTTTAATGGGCGTACACTTTTTATTTCTCTGCCCTTTCTAAACTTTATTATGTGAAGCACTTTGAGTTGCCTCTGTGTCTAAAATATGCTATAGGCCTATATATAAATTTGCCTCTCCTTGCATTTGTATTATAATGTACTTTTAAATATCTATTTTGTATGTTGTTATCTGGCTGTGTCTGGCTGAAACTGATGTCTGTTTGGGTTTTGTAAATACAAAGAAAGAGAAAGATTTCACTTTAGGCATTCCCCATCTTGCAAACAGTACAACATTTAAACATTGTTTAACAAAGATTCAAAACACTGAAACATGGCTGGTGACTCCAGCATGTGTTGTTGTGTTGGTTGTGACAGACACTGATATATCTTGCTGCATTTATAGCTCTGACACTATTTTAGTAGATGTTGCATTTTAGTCTGGTCAGAGAGAATCTCAATCAATAAATCTTGGAGTTTACATGTCCTTTTTGTAAAGATCTTTGTTCTGATGTCTTATATGAGTCTTCTCGTGGCAGCCAGGTCTGCCTGTGTCTGTCAGTCTCTGTGGCCAGGCTATGATCATTGAGTCTCTCTCCCTTTCTCGCCTCAGTTTTTCAGTTCACTACATCAGTGTAAGAGTGAGAGCTCTTGCAGCTGTCTGGACTGAACCATTTTACTGGAAACAGGAGGGTGGCTGAGCCCTTTAATTCACAGCTGTGTACTGTCTCTTTTAAATAAACATTTGGGACTCCTTCAGGCCAAACATTATTACTTCACTTTTCATTTCCTTAGATAATTAAATTTAAAATGCATTCATTGTTTCTGTTAAGTAAAGGCCAAATCAGATACATTGTCAACAGCATATAAACCACATTTTAAGTGCTTTCCAATTGATCCTGATAAAAATACATATTAGGCTACTGATGACTGATGTAAACTAACAGCATCAGAAAATGTTATGTCTACAGTTAATTCAGTCATTGTCAAGTTTTATGACTGGAGTATCAAACTCTCTAGGTTGACATTTCAATCATAAAAAATCTAAAAACAAATCAGATAAAATAAATACCATTTTTTTTTAAAAAAGATATTATGCCCAAAAAAAGACAAGAAAAGAAAAGCCAATGAAAGAAAATAAAAGAAGAGAAAAGAAAAGAAAAAAGTTGTTTACTGGGCATCACCATATGAAGACATGGTTGCCTTGGGCTGTAGCCACTGGACACTTGTTTGTTTTAATAGTTTTGAGGTTTGTATTAAAAAAAATAAAACATATATTATATAAATTACATTTTAAAAAAGTATCTGGATTAAACTTTTGGTTGATACAGTTTTCTGCAATAAAACATAATGTGAACAGACTGAAAACTTTATCTTATTAGACAAAACAAATGTTGATATACTCAGCATATTTCAGCATTTTAAAATTCACAATAATTTTGTAGTATTGTGATAATATCTTATCATTGGCCCTCTGGTGACTCAACTCTACTCTGTGTATGAACTTCAGAGTTCATTTGTCTTTGCCTCCAGATCAATAATATCACAACTACACGCTACATTTTCCATTTCCATTAAGCTTTTTCATGTCAGTATAGCTCTGTGCGCCTGTGTGCCGGGTGTGAACTAATAAAATAGGCCTGAATGTTTTCCATCAGGTTCATTAAATTCTCTGAATTGTCAGCATGGAATGAGTTCATGCCTTTCCCAGGGGCACCCAGCCCTCGCCCGGCCTTCACATGCATGTCACAGAATGAAAGGGAGGAGGGAGGGAAAGGAGGGGGCTCTCATTTCCCTGAATCTGAATCACATGACGCTTTAATCGAGCAGCAGGACTCTGCTCTTAAAAAGCTGATGTCATTTTCAACAGACACTTTTAGGATCTTTTTCCCACAGACTCACAGATACACAGGTCCTCATCCGTCTTTCATTATTGCAGCAGGGTGGATTTGTTGTTGATACAACTCTTCTCATATGTGATTTGTTTTCATGTGTGTGTGTGTGTGTGTGTGTGTAGACTCTCCTCTGGCCCTGACTGCATATTTGTCACCATGCAAGCCTCTAGAGACACCACACCAAAACACTGATCGGCTGGAATGAGGCACGCAATCAAAAATCAATTAATCCTAATCAGAGATAAGTGCCAAACACTGCTGACAGACTGCGCCCGCTGTTTATTTTTCCTCAGAGTGGCAGAAATACCAAGTTATGACAGCAGAGAATTAACGTCCCCGCAGACAGAAGAGGTGTCTCTGCTGATTTTCTTCTCTCAAACGTCTCAGTTGTTGGTGTGCCAAATAAACAACTGATTCCTTCTGTGCACGCTGCAGCCGCCTCATGAAATGAGTCTCTGTGTGGAGCAGCCAGCAGACAGTGAGCTGATTATAATTATAACTGGCGTCAGTGAGGAAACTGAGGCTAAATTAGCAGGGCTGTACTGTACGTGTGAGCTGACTCTGCAGTGACCTGGGTTCTCTGATCGCTGCTGATGTGAGCGACCTGAGAGAGACTGTATGACCTGATATTAAAGAGAGCAACACAAGCAGGAGGGATGTGAGGGCAGGAGACCCACTGCCGATGGGACCAAAGCTGGATTACCAAAAGTAGGCAACTGGAGGGCCCCAGTTCTTCATTGGCCCTTAAAGCTCCAGGCTGAATGTGAAAAGTAATTTTAAATTAAAAAGGAATAAAAAAGTCGTAACAACTGATAAAATGAGGTCCCCAAGATGCATGGTTACTATAATATTACTTGATTCGGGGGCCCAAATTTCCTGTGGGGGTGTGGCTGGGGATAAAATGCTTTGTTTTAAGTTAAAGTCCTGCATCGGCTAGTTCTATTAACGCAAGCCAAAAATTGTGTTTTTTGCCCTTTCAGTCTTTAAAGTCTTAGTGATTGTCCTGCTTCAAGGTTAGTTGAAGAAGAAAAGCATGAAATGGCAGAAGAGCGGGAGAAAGTCAGGAGCAACAGATGTGTAAGGACGTAAAGAAAAACGTGTTGAAATAAGAAAAAAAGGATGAAAAGACAGTGTCAGAGGAAAATTAGGGGAAAAAAAGAAAAAAGGAATATAGCAGTAAGAAAGTAAAACCAGTACCAGTAAAATCAAGGATCAGTGATAAAAGTAATCTGGTTAATTTAATAGTGCTACATTATTGTTACTTCATATCCTGTTGGAGTTTAGGATGATCAGTAAAATAGCCACATCTGTAAGATAAATAGTGGAGCAGAAAGTACAATATTTCCATCTGGAATGTGAAGGAAAGAAAGTCTCCCCGCGTTGAAATAATTCCTGAACAAAACAGCACTATGAAGGGATTGTGAATACGTGCAGTGCACATCAGGCACCACCGGGTGGAGCTACCTCTCTGTGATCTGAGAGGAGAAATAACTGGGAGGACTCTTGAGTCATGACGCATTGTGTTGAATACAAACTTTGTACTCCGTAAGATGCAGTTCACCACCAGCAGAATATGCTAAATGAGTCAGTACATATGTTGGTATGAGGGGAGTCAACTACCAACTGTATACTGTACATGCATACATGTTTCCTACCTGCATCTGTGCATGGACTCGGCTCTCAGCGTAACTCTGTGGGAAAAGAAGTAAACTTGTGTTACAGAAGGCACTGACCTAATATCTGTTTTTCTCACCACTGCGCAGCTCTTACAAAACTGAAATTGAAATAAACAAGTAGAATGTATTTTAAGTTTTGGACTAAAAACGCAGCTATCACTGCCCACCACCTGATTCTCCAGATCAAATCCCTTCCAGGCTTATTATTTATTGATGCGTCATGTGTCGGGGCCACAGAAATATCAGCAGCTGTATCAGGTAACAAGTACAGTACTTAATAAAAACCAAAGATAAATGACCTCCAGTGGAGTTTAGGGTACATTTGAGATGAGTACTGGTGTTCATTCATTCATTCTCTCCACTCCAATGAAAACACAGCCATACAGGGACTGTCCTTGTCAGCCACAACATGCACATGTTTTCTTCTTCATGATGGTATGCAGCTTGTCTGCTTTGCCAAAGTTCCACTGACCCACATGTGGATATAAAAACAGTTTTGATATCTCAGTCAGCCTGTCTGTCTGGGGTTGGAGCCAAAACACAAAGATAGAAGGGAGAAGAGGAGGGATGAGGGAAACCTGATGAGGAATTTAGGCCAAAACTGGCTCACCTGACTGGATCATGTTCA